GCATGTAGGCGATAAATAAATATGGGCCGCATGTACAGTTTTTTTCATAGAAATAGAAGGAAAACCGAATAACAAAAATAAAATAAAAATTTTATATAGGCATATTATATATCATAATTTTTATAAAAAGATTTTCTACGACATGAACATTTTTATAATGCCAAATAAAATCCACACAAATTCAGATAATTCAAAGAGTGATACTGGTTTAATAAAATCCAATAAAAATCATTTTACAAATACCAAAATTAATTCAAATTTATTTATCTCCAATTTTATGATGTAGGGAATCATTTTACCCTATTTTCTATATATTTTATTTTTGGAGAAAAATAATTTGAATAAAATCCAAATAATTCCAAATTGAAAAATAATTCCAAAAGACTTGGAATTTGATCCTCTGAAACTCCCAACTTATATTTCATATAATTTGAAGAAGTCATTTTATCTCCTCTCGTGAAAATCATTGAGTTGCATAAAGTTTCAGAATTGGAAATATTTTCCAAATGAAATTCAAATATTTTCAACGCCCCTTGTCATTTAAATAAATGGAAGAAGTCACGTCATCTTCTCTCCAGGGTTTCGTGGTGAAAAGAATTTGAATTCACGGAGATAACGAATGCAAAATGAAAGTTTGGGAAAGTCCTTTTATTCCCTCTCATTTAACTTTCAAAAAGGTTTCGAATTTCACTCAATTTCACACAATCAATCAAATCTATCTATTTATTATAACATTCCAAAATTTAGAATTTTGGGATGTTACATGCAATTTATCATAACATAGGAAAGAGTCAATATAAGAGATTTTTAGCAAGTCCACATACTCAACTATCATATAGTCTTTCACAATTGCTAACACTCACGCAATACTGATGGGTATGGAGTTTTAATCGAACACGGAGAAAGATAGGGGCTTATAGTTTTGCCTCCCAACATTTTACCTCAAGGGTAATGTCAACAATAATAGTTCATGAAAACTCACGTCTAATTAGCCATATATATCAGGATCTTTCCAACATATTGTGCTTGCCAAAGGATAAAATGTAAAAGGAAAGGTGAAGATCACCATGACTCTTATATAAGGTAGAAGATAAAAGTAAAAGATACGCCCTTCGCAGAGGGAAGCAGAGGTTGTCATGCGCTTTTATAGTTGGATGCACAAAATCTTAATGCGAAAGAACATCACTTTATATTGCCACTTGTGATATGGACCTTTATTATGCAGTCTATCGCTTTTATTTCTTCCATATCACAAGATCGTATAAAGCTTATTTTCTCCCACACTAATAAGTCATACATATTTAGAGAGCAATTTTTATTGCTTGCATCGATGACAACTTACTTGAAGGATCTTACTCAATCCATGGGTAGATATGGTGGACTCTCATGGCAAAACTGGGTTTAGGGATATTTGGAAGCACAAGTAGTATCTCTACTTGGTGCAAAGAATTTGGCTAGCATGAGGGGAAAAGGCAAGCTCAATCATGTTGGATGAGCCATGACAATATAATTTATCTCAGATGTAAGAAAACATAACCCATTACGTTGTCTTCCTTGTCCAACGTCAACTCTTTAGCATGTCATATTTTAATGAGTGCTCACAATCATAAAAGGTGTCCAAGATAGTGTATTTATATGTGAAGACCTCTCTTTCTTTATTACTTCCTATTAATTGCAACGATGACCAAAACTATGTTTGTCAACTCTCAACAACTTTTAATCATTATACTCTTTATATGTGAGCTCATTACTCTCCATAAGATACATATGATCTCTTCTATTTCTTTTTATTTCTTCTCTTTTATTTTGTTCCCTCAAGATCATAGCAAAATCATCAAGCCCTTGACTCAACACTAATCTTTATCATATAGCTCACGAACTTGATTACATAGAGGGATCATAAAGCAAAACTCAAAACTAGATCATACCAAAAACTTTATTCTACTAGATCAAGATATTACGAAAAGGATCAAACTAAGAAAAACGGTAAAGATAAAAGTGATGGTGATACGATACCGGGGCACCTCCCCCAAGCTTGGCAGTTGCCAAGGGGAGTGCCCATACCCATGTAATTATATCTCTTTTGCTGGTGAAGGAGTTGGAGTTGTTGATGATGTAGGCTTGTCGTCCCTCTTCCAAGGCATAGGCTCACCATCATAGAAGGATGATCGAGTCTCCTGAATCCTCAAATCTGCAGCCAAACTAATCCTTTTGAATCTATATTCATACTCACTGTTTTGGTTTTGCAGGTCATAGATCTGGGCTTGGAGGTGCTCGATTTTCTCATGAAGCTTGAAGATGGCCTCCCCAATGTCCTTGACGTCCAGCTTGTGGTTGTTGGTGAACTCCGTGATCATAATGTGATTGGAGTCGAGTCCACGCTCCACCATCTCCTGACACTTGAAAACTTGTTGCTCCAATGCCTTGAGCCTTGCCTCCGTGCTTCCGGTCTTCCTTGGTCCCTCGACATCGCGGGTGTGCAACAACCCCTCACACATCTCAATGGTTTGAGGGTGTTGCAGCACCTCCGCGAGGTAGGGGTTGATGACCTTCTCGAAGAACTTGTCCTTGGGGGCACTTGAAGACGACATGACGACCTAGATCTGTCAGAAAAACAGCTCGAAACAAAGATGGGAGATATTTGCAAGATACATGAGTCAAAACCTCTGGGAGATTATATAATGAATTTTACCGACCAAAATACGTAACGTGCAAGAAAACAGAGTCCGGAGAGCGCACGAGGTGCCCATGAGGCACGGGGGCGCGCCCAGGGGGGTAAGGCGCGCCCTCCACCTCATGCAGCCCTCGTGTCCTTCCCGGACTGCTTCTTATTTTTCTATTTTTCTAAATATTCCAAAACGGAGAGAAATTGCCATTAGAACTGTTTTGGAGTCGGTTTACTTACCATACCACATACCTATTCCTTTTCAGAGTCTGAAACGTTCCGGAAAGTGTCCCTTATGTATTCCTCCGGGGTTACGGTTTCAATAACATTGGTTTCAACATTTATAGGATTACCTGAGATATAATGTTTGATTCTTTGACCGTTCACCACCTTCGGATTTGTGCCTTCGAAGTTGTTGATTTTTATGGCCCCGGAACGATAGACCTCCTCGATAACGTAAGGACCTTCCCATTTACAGAGAAGTTTTCCTGCAAAAAATCTTAAAAGAGAGTTGTATAGCAATACATAATCGCCTACATTAAACTCACGCTTTTGTATCCTTTTGTCATGCCATCTTTTAACTTTTTCTTTAAACAATTTGGCATTCTCATAGGCTTGGGTTCTCTATTCATGAATTGAGCTAATGTCATATAACCTCTTCTCACCGGCAAGTTTGAAATCATAATTGAGCTATTTAATAGCCCAATAAGCCTTATGTTCTAGTTCGAGAGGTAAGTGACATGCTTTTCCATAAACCATTTTATACGGATACATACCCATAGGATTTTTATATGCAGTTCTATAGGCCCATAATGCATCATCAAGTTTTTTGGACCAATTCTTTCTAGATCTATTAATAGTCTTCTGCAAAATTAATTTGAGTTCTCTATTACTCAATTCTACTTGACCACTAGACTGTGGGTGATAAGGAGATGCAATTCTATGATTAACATCATACTTAGCAAGCATTTTACGGAAAGCACCATGAATAAAATGTGAACCACCATCAGTCATTAAATATCTAGGGACCCCAAACCTCAGAAAAATAACATCTTTAAGCATCTTAATAGAGGTGTTATGATTAACACTACTAGTTGGAATAGCTTCTACCCACTTAGTAACGTAATTAACAGCAACTAAAATATGTGTGTATCCATTAGAGGCAGGAAAAGGTCCCATATAATCAAAGCCCCAAACATCAAATGGTTCAATAACAAGTGAATAATTCATAGGCATTTCTTGACGTCTACTAATATTACCGATTCTTTGACATTCATCACAAGATAAGACAAACTTAAGGGCATCCTTGAAGAGAGTAGGCCAATAAAAACTGGACTGCAATACCTTATGTGCAGTTCTATCTCCAGCGTGGTGTCCTCCATAAGCTTCGGAGTGACACTTGCGTAGGATCTGTTCCTGTTTATGCTCAGGTACACAACGTCAAATAACACCATCTACTCCTTTATAAAGATGTGGGTCATCCCAAAAGTAATGTCTTAAATCATAGAAAAACCTTTTCTTCTGCTGGTATGTGAAACTAGGTGGTATAAATTTAGCAACAATGTAATTAGCATAATCAGCATACCATGGAGTAGTATGAGAAGCATTTATGACATTTAATTGTTCATCAGGAAAGCTATCATCAATAGGTAGTGGGTCATCAAGAACATTTTCTAACCTAGACAAGTTGTTTGCAACGGGGTTCTCAGCTCCCTTTCTATCAATAATATGCAAATCAAATTCTTGTAGCAAGGGAACCCATCTAATAAGTCTAGGTTTAGCATCTTTCTTTTCCATAAGATATTTAATAGTAGCATGATCAGTGTGAATAGTTACTTTAGAATCAACAATATAAGGTCTGAACTTATCACAAGCAAATACAACTGCTAAGAATTCTTTTTCAGTAGTAGCATAATTTCTCTGGGCACTATCTAGAGTTTTACTAGCATATTAGATAACATTTAATTTCTTATCAACTCTTTGCCCTAGAACAACACCTACAGCATAATCACTAGCATCACACATAATTTCAAAAGGTAAATTCCAATCAGGTGGCTGAACAAGAGGTGCAGAGATCAATGCTTTCTTAAGTATTTCAAATGCTTCTACACAATCATCATCAAAGACGAATGGTATATCTTTTTGTAATAAATTAGTCAGAGGCCAAGAAATTTTTGAGAAGTCCTTAATGAACCTCCTATAAAAGCCGGCATGACCAAAGAAACTTCTTATACCTTTGATGTCCTTGGGACACGGCATCTTTTCAATAGCATTAACTTTAGCTTTATCAACTTCAATGCCCCTTTCAGAAAGTTTATGCCCCAAGACAATACCTTCATTGGCACTTCTCCCAATTCAAGACAAGGTTAGTTTCTTCACATCTCTGCAAAACTCGATCAAGGTTGCTTAAGCAATCATCAAAAGAGGATCTATAAACGGAGAAATCATCCATGAATACCTCACAAATCTTTTCACAAAAATCAGAGAATATAGCCATCATGCATCTTTGAAAGGTAGCAGGTGCATTACATAAACCAAAAGGCATATGTCTATAAGCAAAAGTACCGAAAGGGCAAGTAAAAGTGGTCTTTGATTGATCATCAGCTGACACAGGTATTTGAGAGAAACCAAAATAACCATCTAGAAAGCAAAACTGTGTATGTTTGGATAATCTTTCTAGCATTTGATCAATGAAAGGTAAGGGGTAATGATCTTTTTTAGTAGCCTTATTTAATTTGCGGAAATCAATTACCATTCTATAACCTGTATAATTCTTTGCGGAATCAATTCATCTTTATCATTAGGAATGACAGTAATACCTCCCTTCTTAGGAACACAATGGACAGGACTTACCCACTGACTATCATCAACGGGATAAATTATACCTACCTCAAGGAGCTTTAGTATTTCTTTTCTTACCACTTCTTTCATCTTAGGATTCAGCCGTTGTTGGTGATCAATAACCGGTTTGGCATCTTTCTCCAAATTTATTTTGTGTTGACATAGAGTGGGACTAATGCTTCTTCAGAGTTTTCAATAATTTTTCTTCCTCCTTCTCTGAAAGGTTAGCGCTAATAAAAACAGGATATATCTTCTTTTCATCAAGATAGGCATATTTAAGAGTATCAGGCAATGGTTTAAGCTCAAACACGGGATCACCCTTGGGTGGAGGAGGATCCCCTAAGATTTCAACAGGCAAGTTCTGTTTCAGAATAGGTCCCTGTTTAAAGAATGCCTCATCTATTTCCCTTCTTTCATTCATAAACATATCATTTTCATGGTCTAGCAAATATTGTTCTGAAGGATCACTAGGAGGTACGGCAATAGAAGCAAGACCAATAATTTCATCTTTACTAGGCAATTCCTCTTCACGGTGTTGTCTACGAAATTTAGAAAAGTTGAACTCATGAGACATATCACCTAAACCAGTAGTAACAACATCCTTTTCGCAGTCTATCCTAGCATTAACAGTGTTTAAGAAGGGTCTACCAAATATAATGGGACAAAAGCTATCTTGTGGGGAACCAAGAACAAGAAAATCAGCAGGATATTTAGTTTTCCCACACAAGACTTCAACATCTCTAACAATCCCAATTGGTGAAATAGTATCTCTATTGGCAAGTTTAATTGTGACATCAATATCTTCTAACTCAGCAGGTGCAATATCATGCATAATTTCTTTGTATAAGTCAATAGGTATTGCACTAGCACTAGCACCCATATCACACAAGCCATGATAACAATGATCTCCTATTTTAACGGAAATTACAGGCATGCCTACCATAGGTCTATGTTTATCTTTAGCACAAGGTTTAGCAATTCTAGTAGTTTCATCACAGAAATAAATAACATGCCTATCAATATTATCAGCCAAGAGATCCTTAACAATAGCAATATTAGGTTAAATTTATCTTGCTCAGGAGGTGTATAGGTTCTAATATTGCTTTTACAAACCACAGTTGAAGCTTTAGCAAGATCTTTTATCCTAACAGGAAATAGGTGGTTTCTCCACATAAGCAGTAGGAATAATAGGATCATTATAAGTGATAGTCTTTTCTTCAACTTTAATAGGTGCAGGTACTTTTACTTCTATGGGAGGATGATATTTAAAGCACTTCTCCTTAGGGAGATCAACATGAGTAGCAAAAGATTCACAGAAAGAAGCTACTATCTCAGAGTCAAGTCCATATTTAGTGCTAAATTTACGGAAAACATCAGTATCCATAAAAGATTTAATACAATCAAACTTAGGTGTCATACCTGACTCCTTACCTTCGTCGAGATCCCAATATTCAGAGTTGCGTTTAATTCTTTCCAATAAATCCCATTTGAATTCAATAGTCTTCATCATAAAAGAGCCAGCACAAGAAGTATCGAGCATGGTGCGATTGTTATCAGAAAGCCGAGCATATTTTTTTTGGATAATCATTTCTCTTGAGAGCTCATGATTGGGGCATGAATATAACATTGATTTAAGCCTCCCCCAAGCTTGAGTGATGCTTTCTCCTTCGCGAGGCCAAAAATTATATATATAATTGCGATCACGATGAACACGATGCATAGGATAAAACTTCTGATGAAATTCCAATTTCAATCGTTTGTAGTTCCATGATCCCATATCATCACATAGCCTATGCCATGTCAATGCATCTCCCTTCAAAGATAAAGGGAAGATCTTCTTATTGATAACATCATCGGGCATACCTGCAAGCTTAAATAATCCACAAACTTCATCCACATATATTAGATGCTCATCAGGATGTAATGTTCCATCTCCTGCAAAAGGATTAGCTAGCAGTTTTTCTATCATACCTGAAGGAATTTCAAAGTAGACATTTTCATTTTCAGTAGGTTTAGTAGGTTCAATAGGTTGAGGAGCAACTCTTTGCTCTACTGGTTGGGGTGAAGATACCCCTAACAAGCCCCTCAGAGGATTACTTTCCACAGTAACAAGTGACAGTAAATTTCAACACACTATATAAATTTTTCCTTACAAAATTCCACCTACCAAAGGTGCTTCACTCCTCGGCAACGGCGCCAGAAAAGAGTCTTGATGACCCACAAGTGCAGGGGATCTATAGTAGTCCTTTCGATAAGTAAGAGTGTTGAACCCAACGAGGAGCACAAGGAAATGATAAGCGGTTTACAGCAAGGTATTCTCTGCAAGCACTGAAATTATCCGTAACAGATAGTTTTGTGATAAGATAAATTGTAACGAGCAACAAGTAATAAAAGTAAATAAGGTGCAGCAAGATGGCCCAATCCTTTTTGTAGCAAAGGACAAGCCTGGGCAAACTCTTATATGAAGGAAAGCGCTCCCGAGGACACACAGGAATATCGTCAAGCTAGTTTTCATCACGTTCATATGATTCGCATTCGGTACTTTGATAATCTGATGTGTGGGTGAACCGGAGCTTGGGTACTGTCCTTACTTGGACAACCATCCCACTTATGATTAACCCCCATTGCAAGCATCCGCAACTACAACAGAAGTATTAAGGTAAACCTAACCATAGCATGAAACATATGGATCCAAATCAGCCCCTTACGAAGCAACTTATAAAGTAGGGTTTAAGCTTTTGTCACTCTAGCAACCCATCATATACTTATTACTTCCCAATGCCTTCCTCTAGGCCCAAATAATGGTGAAGTGTCATGTAGTCGACGTTCACATAACACCACTAGAGGAGAGACAACATACATCTCATCAAAATATCGAATGAATACCAAATTCACATGACTACTAATAGCAAGACTTCTCCCATGTCCTCAGGAACAAACGTAACTACTCACAAAGCATATTAATGTTCATAATCAGAGGGGTATTAATATTCATATAGGATCTGAACATATGATCTTCCACCAAATAAACCGGCTAGCATTAACTACAAGGAGTAATCAACACTACTAGCAACCTACAGGTACCAATCCCAGACTTAGAGACAAGAATTGGATACAAGAGATGAACTAGGGTTTGAGAGGAGATGGTGTCGGTGAAGATGTTGATGGAGATTGGCCCCCTCCCCATGAGAGGAGCGTTGGTGATGACGATGGCGATGATTTCCCCCTCCCGGAGGGAAGTGTCCCCGGCAGAACAGCTCCGCCAGGGCCCTAGATTGGTTCCGCCTCATGGCGGCGGAGTCTTGTCCCGAAAGCTTTCTTATGATTTTTTTCTCAACGAAAGACTCCATATAGCAGAAGATGGGCATGGGAGGGCCACCAGGGGGCCCACGAGGCAGGGGGCGCGTCCAGGGGGTAGGGCGCGCCCCCACCCTCGTGGCCAGGGTGTGGGCCCCCTCTGGAACTTCTTGCGCTCAGTATTTTTTATATATAGCTTCCGTGAAGTTTCAGGACTTTTGGAGATGTGTAGAATAGGTCTATAATATTTGCTCCTTTTCCAGCCCAGAATCCCAGCTGCCAGCATTCTCCCTCTTTATGTAAACCTTATAAAATAAGAGAGAATAGACATAAGTATTGTGACATAATGTGTAATAACAGCCCATAATGCAATAAATATCGATATAGAAGCATGATGCAAAATGGACGTATCACGCCACCGGGCCATTTTACAAGACCCTGGATTTTCAAAAGAGTCGTTTAACGCCTTCAGCTCGGCCGATGCATACATCCGAGCTGCTCGAGATGGGATTAACAGGGCCACCAAGCAACATTTGAAAGATGTGCAGGTAAATTTGTTTTGTCTGACTATGATAACCATATGCCAGTAGCCCCCGAGACTTAAAGGAGTTCAAACAATTGATTTAAGGATCAATGTACAACCAGGTGCTTACGGAGAAGAACACCCAGCTAGCTGAGGAACTAGAAAAGTGCCAGCGCCGGCCGCTTGCTGCCAATGTCGAACTGGAGAAATATAAGGCATCTCCCGGTAATATTTCCCTCTATCGAAAATTCATAATGATACACCGATAGTGTGAATCTGGGTGCTTATCCTTGTGTTGGGTCGTTAGACCAAGTGCGAGAGCACCTGGACGCCGCTCGAAGCGAAGAACACTGAGCCAAAAAGCTACTAGCAGTGGGCGAGCGTGTATTGACCAAAGTCGTTCAAGATAAAAAGAAACTCCAGGATTCGAACACCAAACTGGGAGAAGAACTGAAAGATGTGCGAGCTCAGCTAGCTGACTCTGTAAAGGAGAACAAGAAGCTGCGAGGCGGCATATTCAGTATGTGACCGCTTTTATCTTATAACAGTTTGGAGGTAACGATAGCTAATATAGTTGTGATTGCAGGTGTATTGACGAACCGCCCTGAAGAGGAGGTGTCCGAATCATCAAGTGATCTTCTGCAAGGTTTGTCGCAGTTGCACGAGCAAGCTCGGCAGGCGATGCAGAGCGTAGCCAAGGCCTTATGTCCATCCGACTCCCCTCCAGGAAGTATGGAGAAGCTGGTAGAGCTGTTCAAGGGAGCACGACAGCGTATCCGATTGTGGAAGATATCGGCCTGCCAAGACGGTGCGCGAGAGGCCTGGGCCATGGTGAAGACGCGATATACCAAGATGGATCCTAATCACATGGCTCGTGTCGGACCGGTAGGGCCGAATGGGGAAGAAATTCCCATTAGTTTGGTATATGACCAAGTAGAGGTGGCCGCCAAATATTCCCAACGGGATTGTAAATTAGACCGCCTTTTAGACGGTATAGAGGAGGAAGTGTTTGAGTCATGAGTGACTATGTACTTTCCTTCTAGCTGGATAATAAAGACAATTGTCATCGCTGACCTTTTTGCTTCAACCTCTGG